CAGTGTGTGTGTGTGTGTGTGTGTGTGTGGGTGGGTGGGTGGTTACATGTGGATAAGCTTGCACGTGTGTAAGGGGAGGGAGGGATACAAAAATAATAATAAATAAAAGAACAAAAATAAACCCATTTAGATGAATCACATCTACAGTCTCAGGTCCATGGGGAAACTGTTTAGGAATAGGTGGTCCAAAAGTCCTCGACGAGTCTGGAAGTAGTTTTTACTTTCGGTTATCTAGCTTTATGACGAGCAGAACACTCATACAGCTAGATAACCAAAGATAACAACCCACTTCCCAATCTTCAGCAATAATCCACATGTGTATTTCATCTTCTGGTCTCCAAGTTTCCATCTCTCAGAACTCAAATATACATAGTGGTGGGGGAAAAAAGTCATCAGTTTCCTGTTTCAAGTCACATTGTGCATATCCCTTATATTCCCTTATTTTTGTCGTTGAGGGGACCATAGTACAGCCCGAACTGTTAGACACCTGGTGTAAAAGGAAAAAAAAGATATATATTCCCAGTGTTAATGTCATATTCACTTGACATTAACCAGTATTACTGAGCTGAAGAGGGCCTTCAAAATCGCGGTAAGGTGTAGTCATCCTTGCACGGGGGCCATCATTTGCAATGCAAATAGCTTCAATCCCACAAAAGGCTCTTTCGCCTCTATTAAGTCGTTGTGGCAGTGGCAATAGATATCCTGCGAGGCCAGTGGAGAAGAAACGCGGCAGAGAAGGTGGGAAATCCTGTTTCCTCTGGAAAGTGCAATAACAGCAGAGGGAATTACGACGCAAATGTTTCGGATTATGAAGACAGGAGCTTGTTATTTTTTTTTCTTTCTTTTTTTTTTGGCCAGAGTGTCAAGTTGTCCGCTCGCATCCAATGTGTACTTAAGGAAAGATAAAAACCGATGACTCTGAGCCAAAGGGTCCGTTCTGCAGGCTTGCATGGTCGATCAGTCTGAAAAGGGGGGGGATAAGGGCCATCCCCAAAGGATAGGGGGCTGGGGGTGGCCAAAATATGGACCAACCCCAGTGAGGTCAAAGGCCTCAGACCACGACAAAGTAACTCCGGTGATGTCATAAAAAAAATCGCAAATGCAGCCTCATATCAATGCTCAATCTTCATCCATTACACAGAGCGCGTTGGAGTAAGTCCGCCTTGCAGCGAGCAGTCTGCACACCCTCTCTCACACAGGGATGAAAATGGATGGCAGAGGAAACCATATGTGGGTTTTTTTTTTTACATAGAATGAGAGCGATTCTACTGCTTTTAGTGGGAGACGCGAGCAGAAATTGCAGCTATTAAACAATAAAAACGAAACAACTTTGTGAGGAGAGCATCGCTGCGCTGCTTGAGCGCCAGCGTCTTCCTGTCTAGGCTGTATTTTTCTATTCGCAATAACACGGTACCCGTTTGCTCACTGCTCTGCTCCTCACACGAGACACATCTGTACAACAGGAGTCAAATTGCTCTCACGTGCTCGATCTTTGCGTCGAAATCCTTAATAGCCGCTTGTGTGTTGTTGTTGTTGTTTTTGTCTTTTTGCCATCGTCGCAATCAGATGGGCAGACTACAATGGCATTCAGGTAGGCTGCCGGTGTCGCCTCCCGCGGAATGAGACCCCAGCGCTTTTCCGCGAGGATGTTAACCCGCTCACTTTTTCCGTAGAAATGTAAGTAGTTAACTGATAGCTCGGCACAAATAGGTCAAAAATATAGGGGCTCTGTAAGTGTGTCAACAATAACACGCACATGGAACATGTGATGGATCATGCGCAGGAGCATGCAGCTGCAGGTTATCGAGTGCATTTCTTGTATCCTGTGCAGAACTTTGATTCTGTTCGAACTGCGAAAGGCTCTCAGCTCACAATAAAATAAAATTTAAAAAAAGTCAATCTCACACCGTGGCTGAGTCGGTTCATGCGTGCATATCGGTGATAAATTAACATCCAGTTATTTGTCAATGGCACATTAACTTTTTTTCCTCCTCTTCTTCAGGTGTTCCATTCACTTGCTACAGTTTTAGACCTGGCCCTCAAGTGTACTCTCGTTTCGTGGATGGGAGGGGCAAAGCAGAGGTGTTTTAATGAGCAAATATGAGTCACAGGGCCTGTGCATTTCAATGGGGGATTACTCTACACACTTTGCTCCTTCAAACGTTCACAGTCACATCTAGTGAATTCCTATTTGCAAATCTCAGCTGTCCATTTCCAAACAACATATTCCACTCGCAACGTGATATATCCGAATTTGCCCAAATGCCATCTCCGCACAATGGAAAATGCCCCAAATTATATAATTTACGCACACATTGTTAATGTCTTTATTTCTTTTAATGCACCGTAAGCTTCACCACATCCAAAAATCATCCTGTCCTTCTGTTGATCTGTTGGGTGACTAACTTCATATCATTGCGGTTTTCATTACAAAGCACACCTGATTAAGGTAAAGAGGGGTTCAGAATGGGCCTCCACACAGAGACCACGCTCTCATTACAGCTCACCGTTTTTCAGAGGTAAGACTTGCTGATCCTTGTGCAATTACAAGAAGCTGCATTTCCGCGAAAGTTAAAGACACAATGCCGAGAAGCCAAACATTTCAGAAGGGTGCAGTTCTCTTTGCAGTATTAGCTTTATTCGAGCATACGACGCATTCATGTGTAATAACACCTACATGAGTAAAACTGTACAACGAACGCTTTGTTTTTAAGACGATGTGTGACGATTTTGGTGACGTTATTCATTCAGAGTAAAGTCAAACTTTTTTGTCTTTTTTGTGTCTTTTGTACCAAGACATTTCAGGTCCTTCAACAAACATGAAAAAATATGCGACTGGATCTCTTTCTGTTCCTAAATGAGTCCGTCCTTGTTCTCCTTTCTTTTTTCAAACACATCGCTCTCGAAATCACACTTCTCTCACTGCGTCCAGTCCACACAAACAAAACCCAAACACGGTGGATTCATTGGCGCTGAAGTATGCCTTATGTAGGTGTAATAATCACGTCAAATTTTGGATAGCACTTCCTCTTATGCTCGGCTGTTTTTCATAACCAAAGAGGACGAAAGAAGATTATCTCTGACGCACCTTTTACTCTAGTAACACTGCTGACAATCTTTAAAGATGACTTAATTGCAGAAGGCTGAATTGAAAGAGTGAAGACGCTCTTGAAGTTAATAGCGTTAAACTATTCTTTGTGAGAATAAAGCCTAACTTAGGATCTGAATGCATCTAAAGGGTGCCTATCAGTGTCTTATTTCCAAACTGTGCAAAAAAGGTTAAAAGCCACAAACTTCACATTTCTTTCCTGAAAGTGTAACGCAATTGCGAGACATCATTCAGCGACGTATTTTAAGAAAACAGCAGCGCACGCGAGCATGTTTTTAAACGATATTCTAGATTCAACTTTTGCGCACAAGGAAATCTTTAAATCAGACACACAAGTTGCACTTACTTCCTAATGGCGAGTCACAATCAGACCAGAAGCCGTCCCAACCCGGTGAAGAACAACGGGGTCCGAGTGTACCGTGATATGGTGTATGTTCCCTTCAAATATCCCAGCCGTATTATTTGGTGGGTGGGGGGGGGCGGAAGGGAGGGGAGGGGGGACTTTAAAATTGCCGCTAACACTCTAGCCTGTATTCGGCGTGCTACAGCTGCTCTGTGCAAAGCATGAGCATCCCACGCACATGACAGACGAAGAGAAGGAGAAAGAGGGAGGGATGGGGAGAGGGAGAGACACAACTTTCCCATAACGTCTACAAGCACCAAATAAAAAAAAAGTGCATGCACAGTTGAGCTTCTCAGAGTGTGCAAGTTTTTTCCCCCCTGTTGATGGTGGGTTCGGATGAGGAGGGAGGGGGTGATGATGATGATGATGAGGAGGGGTTGTGGGTT